ACATAATAATACACTTGTGTACACTACGAATTAAACACTGTAAATGTTATTTTCATGCATTCATTTAGATTGTATATGTATATATGTCTATTGCAGAGACAATCGGTGCTATTTAGGTCAAATAGGCCAGTTTATGTTTCCAAACAAGATCATTCTTTTTTCTTTATTTATCAGATAATTGATAGGTATTTGATATTAAGTTAGAGTAAATCATTGATTTAGGAAATAAAACGGTTCATATTTTAAAAGAATTAGTCCCTTTAATAAATTTGGACAAAGTAATAGAAAGACAAAGATTATCAGAACTATATGAAATATATTAACGTAATATATGTTGAACAATCAGACCATACATATATTTTATTAGTTGAATTCATAAGTCAATTGAAGCTGGACCATCATGGAAAGCCTGGATTAGTTGAAGTTAGATATTAACACCATTGAATCCCGGTCGGCTCGGGTTAAGTGTTTACGCACGAGACCGATAGGTCCTGGGTTCGGATCTTACGAGGCGGTATCATGGATGCGAGCCACTGAGGAGTTCCGTTCTAGGATGAAACGGCCGTCTAGTGCTTCCAGGTTTTCTATCGTGATCTAGCTTGACCCATGAATTCAACTATTGAATTACTATGATATCCACAATCTCATCTCTGATTATAATACATATATTTGTTGAGAACATGAATATATTTGACGATAAAAGATCGACTAGACAAATGGATGGTAAGAGAAAATATAGATAATCAAGATAAAAAAAACCAATGTAGCCATGGTAGGTTTAAGGTAAGAACAAACTGTTTTTGAATATATAAAGGAGGTTTGTATGCCCAAGACTTCAATAGACGCCCTTGAACACTTTTGTTTAAAATCATAAAAGCCGACTTAAGATTAATTTTTTAACCTGTTTCAAATGTGTTTAGCAAGGCAGGACGATGTATGTTTGTTATCTTCTCTTATCAGATCATTTGATTTGATTTAGGTACATGTTTAGACACTTTAACTTGCCGATCATGATTATTCCTCCCTATGTATATGTGGCCATACACATTTAAATTGGTAAGGACAATGGTATTTGACGCAATCGTTCACATCCTGTTTAGGTTTCCGGTGAAGCATGGACGTTGTTTTGTCTTTGATAATGACCTTTGACACACAGTTCGTTTTGTTGACAACTGATTTGAACGTTTGCTTCAACAAAAGGCTGTTTGACTCATTTCTCAATCTTAGGTTGATGTAGGTAAGCTGAAAGTGTAGTAGGTCTCAACATACTGTGGCTTTTCTATCGATTTATCATTTTTATAGGATAACCACTCCTCATCAATGTTTTGTTCAGTGACCTCACTTCGTCATCACTATTATCGTTTGTACAATGAGTATATGTGCGAAATGTACTACGCTAATATATCTCACATAGTTTTGATAGTCTTCGTCTTCTTACTACACTTTCTGAAGTCCACATTTCAGTTTCATATAAAGCATATCAACAAATGGTTTACCATTGTATTCATTGTCAAACGATAGTTCATGTAGATGAATATTCTTTCTAGAAAAAAGTGATAAGTAGTCATGATTCTGTAAATTCTAAGTGACTCCTACAACAGTGACACCTAGTTATTGAAACTGAAAAGATATATAAAAGAATATTGATAATTTCTAGGTGTCATACATATGTGATATGGAGGAGGATAGACATAGCGTTGTGGTTAAATAGTGCAAATCGACTCAATGAAGTAATGAGTGTAAGTGTGCATTGAATTAGGTTTCATATACGTGTAGTTCTTGTCTCTGTAATTTTTCATGGAACGGGGAATGAATGTTAACGGTTGACAAACCATTCAAACAAGTCGTTACGACTTATGTAGGAAATTTGTAATCATTCCAAATGGAGTTGGCAATATAAAAATGTAGTGAACGAAGACTTGGGTGGAGATAACCAATTTATTATTTAACGCGCAATCACACAGTGGTTTAGTAAAATTTGAAAATCATAAATTAAATACATCATCTGTACATCTTTGAATTGTCTCCTACAAACTTCATTGTTCCTTCCTTCTCGCTTTTATCTTGATTGCTTTTAGTTCCCTTCTATCTTCTCTTCATTTCAATCTTCTGCTCGCAGACATTCTACTTATGATTGCTGTTACATACTACTTATATCTGCAAACATAAGTAGCACATATCACAATAGTTTATTGCTGTTATTATCACAGTGAATTAATCACAAGACTCAGCTACATGCTTCTAAACATTCTGCAACATGTCATTTAACTTATTCATATATTTTTTTCCTTGTGTTCACATTTTCCAACATTTTTAATAATCTCTTCAAGTGTAAATGGTAGCAAATTTGGATCGAGATATTTTATTATCAAAAACATTTAACTCCTTTTTATCTATCAGGTTAATTTATACTTACTTATGCCTGTTACTTTTTGTGGAGGGGAATAGGCCGTATACAGCATCTGCCAGGGAAGTACTATCCACTGCCTTCTCGTGGCAGGGGTGTTGTTTACGAAATTGAGAGGACGAAAAGCGAATGTCCGGTGCTTTAACCGGATTCCAAACTAATGGTCCACATTGGCTCCAGGATACTAAAAGAACAAATGGCGTATGAACCAGTCGTTGGTCACCGGCTACCATGGGTTTGCATCTCCTCACGATGCTCCACTGCCTTGTGGGTCAGTTCTTAAGGTCAAAGGCTCGGGGTGTGCCCTCCTAAGAAAACCATCTGCTTCTGTCTGGGCACCCGAACAGTATCACAGCCCTCACACAAATCGAATGATTTATGTGGCGCATATCTATTTAGTGCCTCCTTGTACCAATGTTTATGTGTTTAAATAAATAAATAAAATCCTTTCCAACTCTTTCGAGTTGTTATTCATTAATTTTATATCTGCTTCTATTTCCCGACGTAATGTGTTCTTTGGCTTTCCACTTTTCCTCTCCCCTTCAGGATTTCAAGCAAGGGCTTTCTTTTTGATGCAGTCTGATTATTTCTGTAATGTATGTCCTTTCCCCTTAACGTATCTTTCTAGTTTCGTCCTCATCTAGAAGCTGCTTTATTCTCTCCCACAGTAGGCTAATTTATGTTCTATAAAAGATCTTCTTCACGAATCATTTCATTTCCATTTCTTTTTCATTTTTTTTTACAATTTTACACTTTTTAAATGTTTATTTTTTTGTTTAACTCTGGAGACAAATTCATTAGAATGTCTTTTCCCTTCTTTTTCTCTCTGCTAAATGTGAACTCTAAAGTCATATTAATCAGGCGCTCTTTGTTGTTGTTGTTGTTGTTACATAATTGTTTATATCGGATTAAATATTGTCTATTTACAAATAGTATTGTAGATTGTGATTTGAACAATTTGTTAATGTATCCTTTAACTAGATTATTTTCTTTGCTGGACATGGGATCAGTTCATGAAATCTCTCATTACTATTGGTCTTAATCAAATAGAGATTTCTTGATTTAGATTTTTTTCTTCTCACTAATACTCATCATTTATGTGATTTAAGTTGTTGTTGAGTGATATGGCGTCGTCAACTCTCATTTTCTTTTATCTTTCTGTAAATATTCAATTTATTTGTTATTTCCTAATTTTTCTTTTGTTTAACCACATTTGAATTATTCATTGTAATTGATGTTATTCTATTTTTTTTAAATTTCCATAACTCTGCTGGTGTTAGTAGATGTGTGTGTGTGTGTACATATAGCAACTTTCACTTTTGAGGAGTGTCATACTGGGACGAAATAGCCGTCCATTCCTTCTAAGTTTTTCAGTAGTGGTCTACCATTGAGCAATTCAGGATCTCTATGAGATTCTACTTAGAGATTAGGTTTTTTTTCTTTCTCTCTGTATATATATTTGGTGACTAGAAATTCCGGTTGTCTTAAACACAAAATGCCTATTTTTTTCGAAGGTTTTTCTAGTTATACTTGGTGCCTAATAAATTAAAAACTAAACAAATCTTTATTTCCTTAATGGTTTTATTACGCTCGATTTCTTTCTAACAAAAATCTTTGTACATTTTGCAGTTACAAACCATAGAAAGTAACAGTTCTGTAGGAAGTTACCTAATTCATGATCCAATGTTGTGTATGATTTTTTATATTTCCTATCTTTTGAATGATTACAAGGTCCTAAGTAGTTAACGTTTGCTTGGGCAATTAAGTAATGAGTCTTAGGTTTTAATAGGGTATCAGCTCACTACGGACAAAAAGAAAATTTAACCACAGAAATAATGTTATTTCACTAACAATTCCATAAGCTTCCATTACAGATAGTAAGGTATGGAAATTATAGAGGTAACATAACGAAAACTCATCACTCTAAAGTCTTTGTGTTTTTGGTTTGAAGAATGACCGTTTCATAGTGTATACGACAAGAGGATGTTTACCTCTCAACCACCCTCACATCTAACATACTATGCCAAATTGAACTTTTGTATTTCAGTCCTGTTCATGTTTGTGATAATAGCGCGAGAACCACTAGATCAAAGAGAATTACCTTCAAGTTGTTCCATAAGAAATTACCATAAAATCACCTCAATGAAATTACTTTAATAGAAATAGACTCAAACGACGTTATTTTCTTCTTTTTTTCGAATTTATATTACGAATATTTTACGTAGGTATCTACAAAAAAATAAAAACAAGTGGTTTCACATGGTTTCGTCTCCATAAACAAACTCAGACACATACACATACAGACAATTCACGTTTTGTTATTTCAGTTTGTTTATCATCACATAACTTCATTTGGTTTCTATTTTAGTATCGGTGTTAACTTGTTATTCTGTATCGTAGTTTAATTCACGTAACGTGTAACCTGATAATAATAATAAGCTAAGATCGGCGATTCATTGTTGTTTGTTTAACGAAAAAAAATGACTAACTAAACATTGAGAACCAAAATATTGCTTGTTTATTGTTATTTGGGTGTAAGAATTAATAATTTGTTTGTATTTTCTGTTACTATATCTGTTTCCTTCTCTATCAGGTCTCGTTATCCGAATATGGATCAGTTGGCTGATATGATCACATCGGTCCTTGTTCATTTTGGGCAAGTTTTCGTTTGTTTTTTATTGTTTCTTCATAATGCTTATCAAAAGTTGTAGTGATATGCTTTCCATTGGTGCTTTTTCAATGATAATTGTTATTAATGTAAGATGACTTGTGGAGATAGTAGTACTTTGACCGTTTGAATCACGAATTCATTCTAGCTAGGCCGCCATTGAAAACCTGAAAGCACTGGATAACCGTTTCTTCTTAGTGAGAAAGTCTTCAACAAGCGGGTGCTTAACTCAGCATCTTCGATCTTGTGGATGAACACTTATCCTCCGGGCAATTGAGTCGACGTCCAACGATGTGAACGTCTAACTTCAATAAATTCTAAGTCCTTTGTGAGACAGTTTTCCACTGTGGGAAATTAATTTCGGTTGTGCATTATAGTGAATTGATAAGTAAACAAAATATTAACGAACAGTCTTATTCGACTTTTACCTTTCAACTTATCTACTGTGTACACTCTGAAATTAGTATAAAACAATTGTCGAGTACCCTCTAGTTTTCAATGGTTCTTTAACTAATAATATCAGTTTGTAGTGAAAAACAATATTGTTGTAATTAGGTAGGGTTTATGTTTTCCCGCTGTTAATGTTCGGGACTATATTTGAACAGTCTTTGTTGGCATATTAGATCCCTAAGTAAGATGTTTGTTGTTAAAAATGAATTATAAATATATTTTCCAAGTTGTTGCTAGCACTGGGATGAAAGACGTTCATTTCCTTCTATTTGGGACTCATCATTCAGATATATCTCCATCTAAATGTTGATGTTCATATTTAAACTTGAACTCAGTGCCGTCTACTTCAAATAACCATACGTTATATATGAAGTTAGTCAGCCCAGATAGCTGTTAACTTACTAATAATAACAGTAAGTATTTGCGTCACTAATACATCTATCGGAACTCAATAATTGATTGATGAACTAACTGTTAATCAGTTAACATTAGACTATGTAGGTAATTTATAGGATTATTTCCTGTTATATCCCGGCGAGAATTATGAACTATTTAACCAGTAAACTATTATTATACGATTTACCGTTCTTGATTTAAGTTCAGTCTATCAATTGCAATCTTCCACATTTATAGCCAGTTTTGGCTTGATTTTCTACAAATGTTAGTTTCTATTTTATGTTCGATGTGGTCTGTTTGGTTTGTATATAAACCCAGCATAATTGAAATACATGATTCATATCTCCAGGGAAGTCCTACTCACAGATGGTTTCGCTACAGGCGTGTGGTTCACAAAATTGAGAGTAGGAAAAGCGGATTTCCGGATTAGTGGACACGGAGTGTGCATCTAGGGGAGTTGGTAAACCCTGATTTCAAACCAATGGTTTACATGGGCTCCAGGATACAGGAACAAATGGAGTATAAACCTGCCATGGGCCACCGGGTACCATGGGATTTCACCTCCTGATTTTGCTCCACTGCCTTGTGGATGAGACCTTTGGGTTGAAGGCTTTTAGTGTGGACAACTAACGAAACCACCTCCTTCGATCTGGGCACTCGGGCAGTATCACAACCCACTCACAAATCAAGTGACTTGTGTGGCGTATATATATTCGGTGCCTCTTTGTATCAGTATATATGTGTTGAAATAAATAAATAAGTAACTTATGAAACCGTTGAATTATTATGATAAGTAAAAACTAGTACTGTATACAAATTATCCAAGTTGCTTATCATTTCACATTGATCAATGACTGTCATAATAATTAGTACCAATAATGTGCAGATAAATACACATACGAATTGTTTCTACTGTTTGGATATTCAAATTCATACTTACGTGTGTTTAATAATTTAGAATAGAAATCAGCTTGATCAAATAAAATGATAGTGTTTTAGTCAAAGTTATTTTAACTTTTATCCAATTCAATGATCAAGTATAAGAAGTTTGTGTACACTCTCCCTTGAAGTTTATTATTTTGGTTACTTACTTACACATGCTACCCTTCAGACTCAGATTAGGCTTCTCCAACCAACTCTATCCTCGACTCTCTTCTCCAGTTGTTTACAAACCTTATTCATTGTTTTCATATCTTCTTCTAATTCTTGACGTAATATATTGTTTTTTGGTCTACGTCTTTTCATTTAATCTTAAAAATTACAAGTTTATGTTTGGTTTGTGATTCAGTTTGATGATTTTCTCAATGTATATTCTATCCACCTCTAATGTTTATTCTTAATTTCCTCTTCATCCAGAAACTGATTTATTCTCTGATACAGTAGATTATTGTTAATAGTATCCGTCTAACAGATCTGGAGTATCTTGCGTATGACAATCAGATGCCCTGGTACGGCCGGGAGTGGGGAGAGTTTGCTCTCGCTCTCGAAATGCTCTCACATGGCCACGCGTATGTAGCCTCTGCCAGGGAAGTCCTACTCACTGCCTTCTCGTGGCAGGGGTGTTGTTTACGAAATTGAGAGGACGAAAAGAGAATGTCCGGTGCTTTAACCGGATTTCAAACCAATGGTGCACATGGTCTCCAGTACGCTGAGGAAACAAATGGCGTATGAACCAGTCGTTGGTCACCGGCGCCATGTGACTGCATCTCCTCACGATGCTCTGCTGTCTTGTGAGTCAGACCTTAAGGTCAAAGACTCGAGGTGTGGCCCTCTAAGAAAACAACCTGTTTCGGTCTGGGCACCCGGTCAGTATCACAGCCCTCACACAAATCGAATGATTTATGTGGCGCACATCTATTTGGTGCCTCCTTGTACCAATATCTATGTATTAAAATAAAATAATGATACTTCTTTAGTATTTGAATATTATTAAATGGTGATAGATTCAAGTCTCTATCATAATATCTCTTCAACATTACTAATAATGATAATAATATCTTGTATGGGTTGTTTATCATTAAAACTAAATAGGTTTCCATTTAGATCTATCTATTATCCTCTTGCTTTTTAAAACATGTTCTCTATTCTTTCTTGTATCCTTTTCAAATTCACTGATAATTGACGTTTTGTTTGGATTATTATGCTTCTATTTATTTGCTTATTTATTATTGTTATTGTTGTTGTTTGATTTTCTTTCTTTCTTTCTTTTTTCTTTTCAAATATAGAATAAACTATTTTTTGGGTTTTGGAATGGGAGCTGGGTCAAATATTCTTGCTCGTTATGCAGTAAGTTGATGATAATTAGGATGATTGACTGATTGCTGTTAATTTGAACAATAGTCTTGCATATATATTAGCTGATGGGATTTTACTGACATTAGTTTAATTTATAGCTTGTATTTGTTAGAGATTAATCACAGTTACGGGTATCATTGTAGACCAATAAGTATTGAACGACTGTTTTATCCTAATGTATGACTTTGTAGCAATATACAACCATAATACTTTAAGGGTTTGGTATCAGCTCCTTTAGGTCTCGAAACGAACGCTTAACTACTAGAAGTATTGGGTTATTAACTAATAGTACAAATCATACCACAATCAATTTGCCATATAGTACGATATTCATCAAATGTCATCGTTGACAACTGTTTCACTACTGATACATCGTCATACTGTAGTGAACAAAAACACCAATGGGGATAATCGGATGTATTTGACACTAAATTACAGAGCATCTCAATAAAATCTGAGAACCATATAATAAATCGTTAATTTGCATAATATCAATCCATCGTCTCAAACTTGACTATTTCTGTTGCAAACATCGATCCATTGTCTCAGATTTCATTGTTCATGCGTTCTCATACCAATTGTGTTCCGTTCACGTTCTTTCCTTATCGATGTTCGACTGAAATACATTCTATGCCCGACCACTGTTATGTACTACTTATATGGATATAAGTAACCCACACCACAATACTACTAGTCATCAATTTTTTATGATTATATGATTATGTTTATAATCTATCGTCAATATTTAATTACTGAGTCTTTATATACAATCTATCTTTTATATATTACCACCATTGAATTAACTACTTCTATGAATTCGGTGTTCAACTTATTTTGTTACTGACGTAATGGCAACTTGAACCGATGCATATATGTATCTGTTCCTACGTTGTAGCTGACTGACTTTAACCAAGGGGATGCCTAGTTTAACACAAATCAGCGTGAGCGCTGACAAAATAGTTTTGAATCTTATCAGTCCACCAACTTAAACACCTTCTATTTCACTGTCTTGAGTTCAAATAAAAGAACACCGCAGTCAAGATCCTATTATCATACTTCAAAAACACATGCGTTTATTTATCTACAAATTTTGAATAAGTTGAAGATTTCCAAGTTCTATTTAACACCACTGCAGTTCAGAAAGTATCTAATAAAATGTCTATTCAGAATCTAAGTTTATCACTTTTCATCAATTTTAGTAGTAATAATAATAATAATAATAAGTAATACAGTGAATAAGAACAAAATATCTACTACCATTTACTATAGTTTCTAATATCTTTCCCAGTTAATGGTTTAAATCAAAATCCCTAATCTTTGTATACAAAAGACGTCTGTAATACTGATATGTATTCTCAGGTTAGAAGAAATTTTCTAGGACTATTGATTGGCAAACTTTATTTTTTTTACATCATTCATCCGTGTCTTTACTTTAATAAATAAATAATGCAATTTAGTTGCCAAGTACATTGTCTATATAAGTGAAGAACAACAATACTATGATAAAGCTATAGTATAGGAATACGCTTGGACGAGTCGCAATTTCAAAGCAAACTGTTTTGCCAGTGAGTAGTTAGTCAGTTGTATGCAAAGCAGAACCTGACAAATATTTTCATTGGTTCAAATTACCACATTACATTAGCACAGCTAAGATGTCAGAGTTATATAATTATTGAAAGTACCTATTAATGGTGGTAGAACAGATTAGTCTTAGAAGATACAAATCGAGAAAATATGGATTTGTGGAATAAAATTAGAAGTAATTTTAAAATAACTAAGAAACGTATGATTTAGGGGGAAGACAATAAGTAACTGTATCTATGTTATGTCACTCAGCAAAAGACGTGTACTATTGGTTAAGATAATCTCACAGACCCCAACTACGTAATCTACACAACTCAGCACAGTAGTCAATTACTTCTTAGGTCTTGAAATAGTGAAGATTTGTAGATCAGGTGGATTGTTTTGGTGAATTTTTGTTCTCTGAGCTGAATGGTTTGGTCGTGGAGCTTTCATCGTTATTCTGAACGACATTATAAGCACAAACTTCATGTAGAAGTAAACGTCAGCACTGACCAATCTAGATCGAGGTCTACAGGACAGGCTGTGAACTATATGTGGAGAAATCCGAACACTTCACTTCTACATTAAGTTTCCTAAATAAGTTTCTAAACTTAACTTCTTCTCAAACCAATTTATAATCCGTTTTTCAAACATAAATTAATGCAATTAAAACGAAAAAAAAAAGCAAAATAGTTTAGTCAATTAAAAGAAAGAAACATTGAGCATACCCCTACTAAACAGTAGTAAAAACACGACAACAATGAATCAATGGAAGAGCTATTCGTATTTCTAAAAAGATACAATTTCGCGAATGATAATTAAACAAGAAAAAAATCAGTCTAAGATTAGAGTAAGTTTTAGATAGTGCGCACTTATCATAGATATTATTCATCAATTAATTCTCAGCAAACTGGATTAACACTCCCTCTCGAAACGTTCATCAATTCCTCCATCATCAGTCATCTCTTTTGAATCAGATAATCGCTTCGATTAATGTCTTCAGCAGCATAACCGTTTTACATTCATCAGGTCCGTAGTCTATGTGTTTAATTATAGCATTCAGCTACCGAATCAGTACAACTATTCAGAGTTCTATTTACTTCTTCTGGCTTCGCATAAAGCGTCTCGTCAATAATCGTTTGCTCTCTTAAAATGACCAACAAAAGTTCTCTTGATGATGTAGTTCTTGACTTCACAGTTGTTTTCAATAGTTTGTTATTATTCAAAAGGAAATTACTGCATTTTGATGGTGAAACCAGCGGCAGTCGTAGATAAGGTGTCACCAGTCGTCGAAGGTTTGATGAATTAAACAATGGAACAGTAGTGTGGTGTGTGCTAGTGATGTCGGCGGTTATAATTAGTACATTTCAGTAATCTAAAGTGTAATGCCTAGCAGTACAAGGTTAAGAAGATGGAAGAGAAGAGAACGAGGACAGAAAGTAATTAATGCATGGTTTTCAGATTTTGCTACAAGATTCTGTAATTTTGTATCCAAATACATTCGATTGTCCCCACTTGTGTTCTCGTTCACTACAGTAACAGTAGAATACAATATCCTTATTGATTCTTTTGAAGACTAGGAAATGGTATTCAACATTATATGTTTGTCAGTTACGACCTTTATTACTTTCCCGTTGGTCATCAATGGAATACCGTTTGTTTAGTGGTTGGGATTTTACGTAAACCACTGGATTAGGCAATAATTGAATTGTCAACTAGATTGTTATCGCTACTAGGATTCTCAAGAATTCTCTTGGTCTCATAGAGAACTGGAGGCAGTTTGTCTGTATATGACTATATGTATATGTCTATATATGACAAGGAGGAATCAGGAGATTAGAATTTGGGAGAACACAAAGAGTGGATGCATCTGCGCCATTGCAAACGATTTTGAGCCATGTCATTCAGGGTCTCTAATCATCGGTTTCTATCATCTCGCGGTCCCCAACCAGGTAGTCTGCACCTACCAACATGGCTCAGTTCACATGTCAGTGACTTCATGGATTTGTGTGATGTTTTGGTCTGACCGCCCCTAGCTTTCTTCCAACCTACTCCTATACCACTGAACATCGCACGTCGTGGCAGTCGGTGGTTGGGCATACGTAACATATGTCCCAGCTATCACAACTGATGAAGTTTCACTACTTCATCAATGGATTTGCCATGCTTAACTAGTACCCGTTTCCTAACAACTGCATTACGTACTCAGGATGTACGAGCAATACGACAATAATAATAATACGATTAAAGGCTATGTATTGTCTAATTACTTTGTAACTTCTCGCGATAAATATACATTCTTCCCGCTTATTATCGTTGCTTTTTTGTCATTAGTTTAGAATTCTTCAGTAGTATTTGTTCACAATTTCATTGTTTCACTGCTCATATAAAATTCATAGATATATTCTATTTGTCAACTGAAACATTTAGTGAATTTAACTATTGACATGATTAACCAGTAATGTTTATTCGTAAACATTAAATCTTCCATCAATTCCCTCGTGAATATAAAGTTGATGTTGTTGTTATTGTTGTTTTCATTAGTTACTGAAATGTTTATGAAATAGTTGTGAATACCATGTTTATCTTGCATACACACAGATCATCATTGTATCAAGTTTACCTGGATTTGTTGAAATTATGCACTATTACATTCTTATACATTGATTTATTCTAAAGAATAACACTTCAGTGAAGTGAAGTGAAGTGAAGTGAATAGATAAATCCATTGTAATAATATACTAATCACTTGAAAAGGTTTATTGAATCTTCTTCTCCTTTTTCTTGTATCATTGATGACAAAACTAACTCTTTGTCTTACTTTCTCAATACAATCGATAGACACATTAATAAAGTCAGTTTTCTTACATTATTATTATTGATTAGTTGATTTACCCTCTATAGTTGGTCATTTCAAAGTACGAGAATAGAAGATCATAATCACCATAGTTTTACTAGTTACTTCATTCTTCTAGTCAGATGGCAATAATTTGGTTTGTATTATATATATATATATATATATATATATAGGTAGATAGATAGATAGATAGATAGATAAGATGTTACTTATAAAGGGGTTGGTAAAAATGATTCATCTTTAAGAAGAAAAGTATTTAGGAATATGTAGTTGATAAATTGTTAAACAATGAATAATTGATTTCAAATTATTTCATAATGTATCATGTTTCTATCTGCTTTAATTGGAAATCTACGATATCAGTTTATCTGGTAACTTAGGGATATGCACTTTTATCTAATGGATGGGGGGGGAGGTTTGAGCGCAATACCTTTAAACCTATTAACTCGTCACTCAAGTAGTCACATTTCTGACTTTAATATCATTTTTAAGGAGTTCTATAGTATTTTAAAATAGACCTACATCATTGTTTTTCAATGATTGTGTTGATAAAACTGATCCATCATATAGAGGTTACAAAATGGATGATTTCTGTGAACATATTGTGTTTATACTAAATGTCGATTAAACGAAATTTTAAGTAAAGTTATTGAATGTATTGAAGTTGTGATACATTCTGTATTTATTTATTTATTATTACTATTAAAACACATCAACATTGGTAAAAAGAGGCACCAAATAGATATGCACCACATAAATCATTCGATTTGTGTGTGGGCTGTGATACTGTCCGGGTGCCACAACGGAAGCAGGTGGTTTTCTTAGAAGGTCACATCCGGAGCCTTCGACCTAAAGGTTTAGTCCACAAGGCAGTGAAGCAACGTAAGAGGATGTAGTCCTATGGTAGCCAGTGATCAACATTTGGTTCATACTCCATTTGTTCCCTCAGGATAATGGGGCCCATATACAGCATTGGTTTGCAATCAGGGTTTTCCAACTCCCCAGCGAGAACCCTATGTGTCCACTAACCCGGTTGAAGCACCGGACATTCGCTTTTGGTCCTCTCAATTTCGTAAACAACATACTTGCCGTGAGAAGAGAGTGAGTAGGACTTATCTGGCAATGGTTGTATGCACGTGGCCATGTGAGAGCATTTCAAAAGGGAGAGCTGTCTCTCACCACTCTCGGCCGTATCAGGGCGTTTCGGGTCAGAAAATATAAAACGCTTCACGATTCTGCATGTCATCCTTGCTCAGGGGACATGCTTATCTTCTTTATATGATTCCAATTTTAGTATATGTACCGCCGAAGTGAGTACATTCTAAATGTAATCCTATTTGACTTCACAAAGACTCATATGTGTTTCATTCATTATTTTTAAAAATGATAGTGTGATTTGCTTTTGTGGAAAGAAGGTTGTTGTATTCACCAAATTTTTAGTTGCATTTTACTAACATGTACCGACAATAAGATTGTGGTGTTCTGTCAATCATATAGTTCAACAAAGAACTGGTTTCCAATGCCGATTATGCAATATTACAGTTATCTTTTTAACCTACATTCAGATTGTAATAATTTTTGAACATATTTTAATTGCTGTTTTTTAATAGTTAATATCTTTCACCCGTATCCAACAATTAAAGTCTTTTGTTGCCAGTCCAGCTTCTACAAATACATTTTTCACCCATCATGTGTGGGGTTCATGAGTTCTAACATATTTGTCTATCGTTTTAGCAAAGGATAGTTTGGAGAAAAAATACGCCAATAAGTGCAGTGTTTCTGTTTGACTTTTCTGATATTTAGTGTTGTAATAGTTTGTAATCAATCTATAATAGAGTGTGTTTATATGCAATTAGTAATCACGACCGTACGACTCATGTAAACATAAAGTAATCAGCTTAATTGTAGTATTTGTACAGTTGGAAATAAGGTATGTCAAACGTTTGGTTAACCGGCCTAAGGTATATATAATGATGAACTCGATATCTTTTATATATATATACTAATATCCGTTTACTCTTTGGATTTTAAATTTTGACTTAACCTTCCATAAATAATTTCGACTCTCTTTATGAATTCTAAATCCTTATGTTTTATTGTTTTAAACAACTTTTCAGTAACAGATACGATTTTCCGAAATACTAGTTATGTCGTTTAAAGATCCCCGTCATATTGAAAGACTAATATTTGAACGAAGAATATTCTTTTCGATAAATTCTCTTCAGGTTCTACAATTATCTCATATCCAAATTATAAATCCGAGAAAATGGCCAAATTAAGGGTAAAGTACATCGTTTAGAGCATGTGAATTTAGGATTGTGATAAACAAAATACAATAAAATTGTTAATGTTAATATGACTCATATAAAATGTTAACTTGAATCTGCGTATATGTTAAATGAAATTTTAAGATCCATGATCAGAATAAATATGGGTCAAATAGGCTGAGAGAGAAATAATAGTGCAATTACAATTCGATCAAATAAGTAAGACGTAATACGGAGGGATGAATGCAAAGTGAATGAATCATTTTATATGAGTCATATTAACATTAACAATTTTATTGTATTTTTATTACAATCCTAAATTCACATGCTCTAAACGATGTACTTTACCCTTAACTTGGCCATTTTTCGGATTAATAATTTGGATATGAGATAATTGTAGAACCTGAAGAGAATTTATCGAAAAGAATATTCTTCGTTGAAATATTAGACTAGTTATGTCATTTAAATTTCTTGTGATAATTTTTGCTACTTAAATTTATTACAGTAGTGTGAATATCTTATTCGCATTTTAAAAATTGTCAAATATCTTACAGCTTCGTTATCCGGATCAAGTATTGGGATTATTCCTTATCAATCCAAATGCATCAACTCATGGTTATTATCAATGGTTCCGTAATGTTTGGTCTGATTTACCTGCACTTGAACGCGGTGTACTAACTGATAATTTAATGAGTCAATTAGAAGCTCATTGGTTTGGATTTGTAAGATTTTATTTATAAAAAATTTTTTCTTTATACTTATCATGATTAATTAACTAATTACGTTCACGCTTTTACTATTGTTTTCTTTGTAATCACAAAGAAGATTTGTAGTTTGGATGGTTTATTCCAGTAATATTGTGTTTTGTGAGCTCTATAATGTAAACGTTCATTATTGTTTAGGATTATATCGTCAGCGTCTAACTTTCATTGGAATTAAGCGTTGATGGTATTAACCTGGATGATAATTAAAGTATTACAATCTGATCGTATTGTTCACTGGACACAATACCATCAAATGCTATTCTCTCCAACTAGTCGAGTTGTTTTCCGTGGATTCCTTAATTTATTCTCATCTTTGCTTTCATCAATGTGTACTTTTATTGAAAAACTCTAATTCTAAATATGTGCATTGGTTAGAACTGTATAATATAACAATTTTTTCGTAGCAAAACTGATAACTTGAATAAACTATATGATGAATCGAAAAATAACTGTATCTAATGCGGTGTTTTATCCGCGTTTAGTTTAATCATGCCTTATCCGATGAAGCCGATCAACTTTTCAGGAAAGGGTTTCTGCTCTGTAAGGTTCACAAACCTACTTTGTGAGTGTGATCGCTTAGGGAGATCGACACTGCTGGGTCTTGGTGCGCTAGCGTCTCACCAACGGGCAAGTATACAGTACATGCATACCGGTAACACATAAGCTTTCGCCAATGCATCCCTTCGCATATCCATAGGTATGCTCACCCTGGGAGCAAACACATGTCACATGCACAAGGATAACACAAAATTTTTCACTCATGAATCCCATAGCATACATATAGGTATATTCACACACTTTAGAGAGTAAATGATCATTGCTCCGTTCGAACGTATTTGCTGCTGACTGTTTCTTACGTATTACATGGATACCATTGGTACAAAAACCCGCCCTTGTACTCCATGACATACACATAGGCATAAGCACTCTTTCAGGGAGAATTGGTGATCGTCTCTACTTAATATTTTCTACCGTTTCTTCTCATCTTGTGTTCGACATACGGCAGACATTTTCCAGATTACGTTCCTTGTGCTAACGTACACAATCTAACTACACAATCTGAAACTCAATGAAATTCATATACATAGGTATACACATCGGAAAACACCCAATATTTTAGTCAGCCATGAATTGGGAACCCAAATAATTCAGTTTACATCAGAGTATTAGGTTAGTCCGATCTCCGCCGACCACCCAAATTAACTATCAAGGCTTTTTTCACTACCCAAGAGTTCTTTACTAGTTTTAACTTCAATATGTCATATACAATAAATAATGAAAGGTCGGTAATACTACACAGAAATAACAACCATTTTTATGCTAACCAAATGGTGAAAGGAAAGTCACTCATTATCTACGAAAGAAATTGCTTCAATTGCGAAAAAAATTATATCAAACAAATGGGTTTTCCACGTCATCTTTATTTGGACAAGCATCAACTAGCTGTCAAATACTATGATATATTCTCGCTTATATTAGTTCATGCAGGCAAGTGTTGACAAACGTTCAGTTAAGGAAATATTAAGACTTCGAATAGAGAGAGAACGTTTAGCACTCCAGTGAATCAACAATTAGTAGGTCTTTCACAGGTTGAAATCATGAGTCGATTGAAGCTAGACGACCATGGCAAACCTGGAAGCACTGGACAGTGGAGTTCAACCAGGTCTGTTGTGAGATAGTAACTCACTGAAGACAATGGTGTATGGTGGCGCAACTTCGTGGATTGGTTGAAGTAAGACATTAACACCGTTGTATGCCGGCTCAGTAGTCTAGTGGTTAAGTGCTCGCGCGCGAAGCCAGTCGGTCCTGGGTTTGAGCCCCACATGGTGCGGGATCGTGGATGCGCACTGCTGAGGAGTCCCTTACTAGGACGAAACGGCCGTCCAGTGCTTCCAGGTTTTCAATAGTGGTCTAGCTTCAACTGACTCATGATTTCAACCTGTGAAATTTCTAAAACTCTCCACAAAACCCATTCTGATAAAGAGATTTTTATTTTTTAATTTTCAAGTTGAAGACTGTATATTTATTTCATCGTAAGTTGTATTTAGCTTGACAAATCATTAAGTTACATAGTGTCTAAGATGACATTTATATAGTTAAGATATATCATACGAAGCTTAGTTAACATACTTTACAGTGTCAGTAAGCTTTTTCTATCGATAGTTAAATTAAGTAAACTATTATAACTGAAGAAATTCGTTCTAAAACTTCTTTGAATATATCGAAATGATTCAACAAGAAAACCAGATGATGTTGGGGAATGATATTAACCTGAACCTAATAATCTGCTGTATTTTATTTAGGACAAAATGACTTTCAACTGTAAAATAGCTTTACAATGTATTCATTTCATAATTTAGGGTTTAGTTGAAAATGCTGATGTAGCTAATTTTTATGAATCATTAACACGAAGTTTAAATCCAGCTAATTTAGCTGGTTATATACGTTCTTATGTGGATCGTACACCATTACCATTGGTTCGACCAATACTTGGTCCTCCAATGCCTGATGCTCAAACAAATCCAAATGAAGAACCAACAGTTATACTTACTGAAGTATGTTTAGTAACTGGTGATCGCGCTGTGGAATTGTCACGTGCCTTAGCTGATATGAATGGACGTATGGATCCGAAACGTACACAATTTCTTATGGTAATTAAATTCATTTATTTTAATTCCATATATATTATTTGTTTTCATCAGTCTTATTGGACAAAATATATTATAATCAATTTAATTTACTGAGAACTAGGAGGCTTTTTCTTGATTTATTTAGCTAGACAATGCACCTAAGGTTGAGTAAATCTAAAGATGATCTTATCTCCGATTATTTAAATGCAAAAATAGTAAATGGCTCTACAGTAAGTAATAATTACCATAAATTTTAAACTACGGTGTTAACATCTGACGTTGAATGACTGGGTCAGTTGTCTAGAGGTTAAGCGTTGGTGAACGAGATCAGGGGTCCAGGGTTCAATTCCTTCATAGTGGATCGTTTATATCCATCGCATAGGAGTCCCGTAATTGGAAGAAATGACCATCCGATGCATTCAGGTTCGAAATGGTAGTCTAGCTAAGATCAGTTCCTGGTTTCAACAGTGAAAAAGTAAAATATGTATCAACCAATAAGTTTGTTTACAATCAATAGTTTTAACCAACTATGGAGAATTATTTCTAGTTACTTATAAGTAGTATAGTTATAGCACACAAATTTCACATTGAATATAGCTAGAAACATGCTTCGATTGATTGGATGGTATGTTTATCATTTTAAGAGTGAGAGGTAATTAGTGTTGAGTATTTTAAAACTGTTTAAAAGCTCCAATTGATTTCTAAGGTTTATTGGTGAGTTTTAGAGAATCAAATACTCTCGTTCATTGACTCGAAACTATTTTACTTCTCATTATGGCAATCAGAAAAATAATCATTGATCCTTATATTATTAACTTATATGTGACCACTTTAGGGCTCCTCTAATTACTTATAACTGAAGTCATTCAAGGCATCTGGATCGACACACTATTATTAGTGAGGAAGAGGGAGCTTCCGATTGATCACTTCACTTTAGATATTTCACATCCTGAACTGACCTTAGACACAACCACAGGGGGGGGGGAAATGGAAGCATTGGATAAATTTCTCATCCCAATTTAGGATTCCTTAGAGTGACTCATCTAAAACCCACCGATGTTTGAGCCCAGAACGTTCAGGTTCCATTACTTATTAATTCATAATTATGAAGGATTATCATTGAAAGTATTTCATTGTGTAGACAATAATCACTCACGTTTGATAGAACCACTAATTGGATTATATTGATGTTATGTGTAAAATACTACTGAAGGAAATTTTAATGAGTATGCCATATTCCACTGAACATATAACATTGAGTAAAGTAATCATTGTTATGACTATTATTATTTACCAATCAATTGCAGAATAAGTTATTTGACCAAATTCAGATATACTACTGAAATTGTATGCTAGTAGTTATTGATTACTTTCCACCCAAATGTTGTTCTGTGTCATAATGTATGTGTAGAGTGTGAACGTACCATTTTATGATGAGTAAAACAAGTGCGGAAATAACAATGATTGATTGCAGAAATTCCTCGTTAGATTTTTTTTAATGTTTCAATTGTCTAACACACTATCCTGTTGAAGAGGAAAAAACAATATTTTTAAAAAAGGGAGTTTCAATTTTTCAGGTTCATCGCTTAATTTGAATAAAAATTATTTTCCTATGTTCACTTAGTTCTTTGTTATAATTGAACGGTTGAGCATAATTGAATTCCAAAAAAAGTATACTTGTTTGAATGTTAGAAAGTACTAATTTTATTCAGTATTTGTTGAAGTTCTACCGTGATGTGGGTTACTTATATATATCCGCATAAGTAGTTTATGACGGTGGTCAGGCATAGAATGTATTTCAGTAGAAGGTCAATGAGAAAAGAATGAGAACGGAACACAATTGGTATGAGAATGCATGAACAATAAAATCTGAGACAATGGATTGATGTTTACAACAGGAACAGTCAAGTTTGATTTGATGGATTGATATTATGCAAATTAACAATGTACTATATGGTTCTCAGATTTTATTGAGAATTCTTTGCAATTTTGTGCTTAAATATATTCACTTGTCCCACCGGTGTACTGGTTCACTACAGTACAGCATGTAAACAATCACTTCATCTATCTGTTACTGTACAAATATGAAGAATTGTGGTTTAGTGATAATCAAAGTTTATGGTTTTGATTCAACAGGTTGCATTTTCTAAATCTGATCCATTTATTTCGGTTCACAGACAACCGAGTAATATTTCTAATGCATACATGAATTATATAGCTTAAATGCTAATACACAATGCGTGTACTTCGTTAATAAATTACATAGAATAATAACATATAAGTGTTTAGAATTAAATGCGTGATTACACTTTTATTCTTTTTGCCTAGTGGACCGTTCTTTTAAAAATAAAAAGACATATGTACTTTCAGTCAGTCAGTCAGCTACAACGTAGGACCAGGCATATATGTGCATCTGTCCGAGTTGTCATTACCTCATTAGCACAACAAGATCAACACCGAATTTATAGAAATAGTTAATTCAATGGCGGTAATATATAAAAGAAATATTGCATATCAGGATATAGTTCAGGAAGAAAGAATTAGTTCGTAGAAAGAAAGATGTAAAGCGATTTTAATCTCATAGTTTAAAGGAAAACAGAAAGTTTTTACACCTACGCCATTGTGATAGATTCTGAGCCGGGTCACCCAGAGTCTCCAGCTATTGGTTGCGATAGCCACGCGGATCATAACCAAGTAGGTTACTGATATTCCATTACAGATGCCTTTCGGAAACACTGTCAGAGTTTGTTAAGACCATTTAGTGAGCGAAATTGAAATTAGAGATAGGGTATTAAGCAAAGATGGAATATTGATTGCTGACTTTCAATTGATTGAGGAAGAAGGTTAAGGGTGATCAAACCAAAATTTAGTATCATTCTTTGGAGTCATTAACTGTTGTTTTGAACCATGTTTAGTTGAATGCCTGCGCGGTTATCTTGAACGGTCGTAGAAGACATTGGATGACATGGATCAGAAGCGGTAGGATTGGGTCAAATGTTTACATTTATTGTCCTTCTCTTAATCCTAAATTTCAAAGTTATTTTATACTTTCTTATTCTACAAATAATTGTACTGTCAAACCAATTCTTTTTAATATCACTGATGATAGTACTAGTACTCTGACATTTATCATGATAGTTCCATTTCCTTATATTTTATGTAATGGAAGAGAACGCGGCTGGGGGACTACCAATTTATTATTTTATACAAATGACAAAATATCTTCGTAAAACATGGTAACTATACACTAAAATCTTCATTTGCGAATCTTTCATCAATTGCTCTTTACATTCTGTCTGATTCTTTCAATTCATAATTCCTTTCTGTTGTCAGCCATTCAGCTTTTGATTGGTGTCAAATACTACTTATATCTGTCGAAATAAGTAGCATACACCAGTTATAATAAAATAAATTGGATTGGTGCACATATGTATGACAGATTCAATATTGCTTGTAAATGATTAACTAAAATTTAAATAGTTCCAGTGTTTCGTCTAGCAAACTTGTCTAGACTTCTTCAGGATAATTCCCTACTCGGTGCCCAAATTTTATCAAACTATTCGTTCTAATATTGACGAATATTCGTATAAATGATATTATTGTTGTTTTCGTTTATGTGTCCTTCATTTAGATGCCTGATTGTACTGGTATGGTGATGGAAGAGAATCCTAGCAAGTTGATCATGAACTTTTTACACTTCTTGCGTAGTATTGGACTTGGTAAGTTAATCATAGTTTGTTTGTTTTCCCTGTCTGTATTACAGTATAGTAAGAATAATGATAATAGTACTGATAAGATCATATGATATAGTTGTTCTTATTGGATTGATACATTTTTTCGATTGTGTAATACTTTTCTCAATCGAATCTCGCTCTCCATAGTTTATTTCAATGGTATTATCTCCACATGAAAACTTGTTGTTTTAAATGCCAACTCAGTAGTAGTGGTCTACAGGGGTAATATTGTCGTCGTAAAACCTGAAAGTTCTCGGTTACATTTTTTTAATTTTGTTTATTTACATAAAATCTGGTACAACTGAGTACCAAAGATTAGTAAACGCTATACACAATATTTCTATATGCACTACCATACTACCTTGGCACGCGAACGGAAGTAGATGGTTTTCTTCAGAGGCCACTCCTCTAGCCGTTGATCTTTAGTTCTAATCCACAAGAAAGTAGAGGATTGTTTGAATATGATTGTCTCATAGTAGTTGATGAGTAAATAAAGACTGAAAACTGGATAGCCCATGTTCATTATTGGTTTGTAATCAGAGCTTTCCAACTCCTTCCTGAAGTCAACCCTGCATATCTAATGACTCATTTTAATTCCAAGAAGTTTACTTTTTCTTAATTTCGCTTTCGTAAACAACACCCCTACTGTGATAACGAAATGACTATAATTTCCCTGTCAGAGACTATAAATGTAAGATTGATTTGGATTTCAAATAAGAGACTGAACTCTCTCCCATCCTCAACCCTAGCCCATTTATCAGTTTGATCATTGAAACAGTCATAACGAACTGTATCTTCTGACGTTGTTCCACTTCCTTGTGGATTAAACTTTTAGATCTAAAGTTCTGTGAGTGCCCTCCCCATTATATATAATATATATATATATATATATATATATATATATTATATAATTGATACCTCCTTGTACCACGGTTTATGTATTCAAATTGTTATGTTCGTTAAGCTTAAATGCTACTGTTGATTCGTCCTACTCGGAACGGAACGAAAAATCAAGCAACCAGAGACTCGATAGGCTATACTGGTCCGTTGTCCCCGATTCAGCAAACTCGATCCAGAAGTCTTGGTAAAATGTAGAAAGTGTATTCTACAGACAACCAGAACATACCAGGTTCATGAAGTACACAAATCAAGCGTATTTATACAAAATATATATAATCGATATTGCCATGGAAGTTTTTAAACATTTAATCAATAAGCTCGTCAATTGACTATATACGTAGGTGGTAGGAAATACCCAAGTATACATCTGTATACAAGCTCCACAAAAATACAATTACAAAATATGAGTTTTGGGTATCTAACATTTCCAACATAAATAAATAAACATAAGTGAACACTATCAAAGTATTGTCTTCGTTTTCACTTGTTACCAAGCTAAAAATCAATTCGTAATATGTAGGCTTTATTTAGTTTTTTGATCAATTCAAAGTTTGTCATGTTTTTTTTCTATCGAATCTCAAGTCTTCTTTTCTTTTATCTTAATAATAATAATAATAATAATAATAATAATAATCATATATACAATATTATAATCCATGTTGTTAAGTCAAGTAAAATATCTAACTTCCTTCTTCTGATTTTATCATGTTGTTATCTATTTGAAAAAAGAAAGAGAAATGAACTTGTTTCTTATTTGTGTGTGTGTGTGTTTTGTTTTCATCTTTGAAGCCAATTCTCCATCTACCTTCTCTCCGCTTTTTATTCATTCTACTAAGAAAACTAAATTAAAACAGAATGAATACTTTGAATGATGAAAATTTATGATCAAAAATTTTGTTCATTGGGATCAGAGTACTTTAGTATGACTATTATTATGAAATGAATGTAAAATCAAGTTATATCAAACGGATTAGTAATTGTGTTTAAATGTAGCTTGTTTTTTGAAAAGAGGTTATTTGTGGTTATAAAGTTGAATATCATGTTTCATCTATCGAGATTAAAAAAATACTTTATATGTTTCTTTCTATGAATTCATTATATCTTTCTGTACTTACTTACTTACTTACTTATGCTTGTTACTCCTCGTGGAGGAGCATAGGAAACGCAACAACACTCTCTCCATCCAACCTTGTCCTGGGCAATCGTTTCCAGTTGTAATTCATTGTTTTCATATCTGCTTCTATTTTCCGACGTAATGTGTTCTTTGGTCTTCCTCTTTTCCATTTCACTTCACAATTCCAAGTTAGGGATTGTCTCATGATGCAGTTTGATTATTTCTGTAATGTATGTCCTATCCATTTCTATCGTCTTTTCCTATTTTCCTCTTGAGCTGGAAGCCGGTTTGTTCTCCCCCACAGTAGGCTGTTGCTGACAGTATCCGTAGAAAACTAACTCGCTTATTTATTTGAACACATGAATATTATTATTATTATTATCAGCTTTATTCAATATTATATTTTTGGTACAATATAGAATTCTCAGCGTCAAGTATTTCAACAAGTGTCCGTTTTTTTTTCTTGATCGGTCCTGGTGATAAATATTGAGTGATCGCCAGTTAGATGTTAGCAGTTCAGTAAATGAACATCTGAATAATGTGCATTCTTTTCGCTGTATATTTGCAGCAACCACATTGGCTCTTATTGAGTTTTTTGTAACTTTGACAACGAAAGGTTGTACACTTTTCAGAAACGCAGCAGAATACATCATGTGATTAATAAACTTATCGATATATTAAAACAAATAAAAATAGATAACTTGTTGAAATATCTAGATGGCAGGAACAGGTAGCCCAGATGCTCAAGCAGGCCGCCTTTTTAATGGTACACGGGGGCACCTGATACATATACTCCACACAAGTCACTTGATTTGTGTGTGGGCTGTGATACTGCTTGGGTCCCCAAACTGAAACAAGTGGTTTTCCTAGGAGATCACGTCTGGAGCCTTCGACCTAAAAGTCTGATCCACAAGACAGTGGGGCAACGTTAGCAGATGCAGTCCCTTAGTAGCCAGTGACCAACAATTGGTTCATACGCAATTTGTCCACTCAAGATCCTGGAGTCCACGTGCACTATTGGTTTGTAATCGGGGTTTCTCAACTGCTTTATGTTTATTCTTCATATGTATTAATCAGATTAAAGCTCCGGACATTCACTTTTCATCCTTTCAATTTCGTAAACAATAGTAATGCTGTGAGAAGGCTGTGAGTAGGACTTCGCTGGCAGTGGTTATTCGCACGTGGCCATATGAGAGAATTTCGAGAAGGAGAGATGACTCTACTCACTCTCGACCGTACTAGGGCATTTGGAGGCTATTTAATAATCACAGATCAGTTTTACTTAATTTAAAGAAACTGTAGTAGATAGACATGTTAAGTTAACAACAACTAAATAGTTTAAACACTCCTTTATGAAACTGATTAATTGATTATCGATTAAAATGGTTATCAAGTTGTTATTAGTTACAATGAATTGATCTTATTCCTGAAAAAAATCGCAATGTTTCACCACAAACGTCTGATGATAATTTTTCAGTGAGACTATAATTTATGGACAACCTTTTAGTGACGCTAAAGTGACCTTGAGTGTGAACGCCTACTGAATAAGATTAAATGCGAATTATAAATCAGTTAGAATTCTCATTTACAGTTGATAGTTAAAGTTAAAAATTAGATTTAGGGTTTTCATCATGAATGAATATCAGCTATAATGCCAAAACTCTATTTTTAGCCAAATGTATGAATGAATTCCGCGCCCAAATTCGTGACTTGTTATCTTGTATCTGATTGATTCGTTCATAAATTATAGTCTCACCAATTTTTTTCCATTCAGGAAGTCGTATTCTTTTGTTATATAAACTTTAAATAAGAACAATACCTTTTATTTTCTATTATATTATTACTGAATTGGATTTATATTGAACCTTTTTGTCTATAATTGTTCTCATTTCAAATAGTTGTCAATTTGACACCAGAGAAAATGCTTAAACAAGCAACAGATTTACAACAATCTATGCTTGATGAATTACCTGAAACATGTTTACCAGCTAAATTGGTTGTGGAACCGGAAGTTTGAAATATTGACGATGACGACGATGATGACACCACAGAGAGAGAGAGAGAGAGAGAGAGAGAGAGAAAGAGCAGTATACTGATTGACAATGTATGTGATCATAATATTCACTGTTCTTTTTAAAATCATTATTATTCACTTGTCTTGTAAACCATTAATTTTGAATCCACTAAAAAATCATTTCTAATGCAATAAGAATAGTAATTGTAATACTTACCTTCATGTCGTAAAAGCGCATTTCACTAATTTAACAAACTGATTCGTTGGCTAGTTTCTAACCTGAACTTTGATTAAAATTATATCACTTTCATTCTTCTTTGTTTTATTGACTTGTATCATTGATATCAATATACACGCACATGTTGCTACTACTACTACTATTACTGGTATCGTTTTTCACTGTAGTATTGTTTCCCTTTCATGACATGAACGGATCATACATAAAGAAGTGTTGAATTTCAATAAGTATTCATTCACTCTTATCATCATCATCATCATCATCATCATGTTTATGTGATGGTTGTTTTGTTATCAATTTCCCTTTTGGATTATCGACTTATCTCTATGCTACTTCTCTTATTTCATATTATCACTTTATGAATTCATATTGATTCTTCATTGTCAAAAGCATTTTTTACTTTTCTATTTCAATATATTCCATTATGTCTTTATTCATTCATTAAACTTCTCTTATGATTCACTTATAATACTACACATGAAATTTGAAATGGTTTTAAGGGATTTTCTCTGGTGGATTACTTTCACTAATCTTCTCTCTCCCTTACACATATATATCTATCTACTAATTTCATTTCTGGTTAGAGTTATTCAGTGTATTCATTTAGTAGATGAATATATAATACCTACTTAATTAAGTAGTATTCTAATTATTTGTTTGTATGTTAGTATATACTGTGATGATATTACTGATACTTTGTGTTCTTTTTTTTCATAATTTCTGTTCGTTTTGAAGTTACTGTTGTTGTTGTTGTTCTTCTTCTTCTAAAGACACTATTCACATTGTATTGAGTAATTAGTGTTAGTGTACTCGTAGTTTGTTTGATGTGAGTTTTGTTTTTTCTTTTGGAAAACATTCTTTTTCTTTTTTTTTCAAGCAATAATTTTAATACAATTAATCATTTCATAAATTGATGAATAGTTTCTGTGTGTGTGTTTCTATTGTCTTTGATATAATGATAGGTGTAAATCGAATAAGCACTACATTAGTCTAAGTTAAAGTTTATGGTGAATTGTCATTTGATTTTACAACTTTAAGTGATATTCAACAAGGTTGTTCACTATCTTCATTTCTGTTCAATTTCATCATAGACCTACTGATTGAAATAACATTCTCGTCATCTGAATTCTCGGGTATTGATCTCTTTCCAGGAGGTTCACTTATCGACTTAGAATACGCAAACGGTAAAGTCTTGTTTGATGAAGACGTTGATAAAATACAGTCTTCTGGTAGCACTGAGAAAGAATGCCAGAATGTTTGGAATGCGCTTTTCTCCCTCTAAATGCAAGTTGTTGCTTCAGGACTGGTCTGCATCAACACCTGAACTAAGGATAGGGAGTGAAGTAGTCGAACGCGTTGACAACTTCACTTATCTTGGAAGTCTGATCAGCCCTAATTGGTTGGTGTCTGACTAAATATCTGCACGGATTCAAAAATCCTGTTTGGCTTTCGTCAAATTACGTCACCTATGGTGAAGGCGAGATATCCGTCTATCAGTAAAAGGACGAGTATAATGTGCGACCGTACGTTCTGTGCTACTTTACGGCTGCGAAACATGGCCATTAAGAGTAGAAGACACTCGTAAGCTATTAGTATTTGACCACAGATTCCTTACAAATATTGCTGGGATCACCGGGTAAGTAATAGTGAGGTTAGACACACAGTCTTAGGGAATGATGGTAAATCAGTTAATGAGGTTGTGAATCTTTATCGATGCATGTCCAACCACCGATCACCATGACGCGCAATGCTAACTAGCGTTGTAGACGGTTGGAAGAAAGTTAGGGGTGGCCAAACCAAAACGTGGCATCAGTCCACAAATCCGCTAACTTCCAGTCTTGGTCATGTTGGTAGATGCAGACTACTTGGTTGGGGTCCGCGTGACTATCGTAACCAATGGTTGGAAACTCTTGGTGACATGACTCAGAATCGATCACAATGGCGTAGCTGTATACTCTCTGTCTTTCCTTAAAGTAAGAGTTTAAAATCGCTTCATATCTTTCTTTCTACCAACTAATTTTTTCCCTCTATTATATCATTATACGCATTCTTTTATAATATGACTATCATTAAAGTAACTATTTCTATGAATTTGGTGTTCATCTTTTTATGCTAATGAGATGTATCAACTTGGACCGATGCATATATGTGCCTGGTCCTACGTTGTAGCTGAATGAATCGCTGATGAAAAACTGTATATTTACAGGAACATCTGGAATCACTGAGATTCATATACCTAGTATCTTCAAACATCCACCTCTGGTATCCTGAGGACCAAAATTAGGAGAAAGAAGCTACCGTACAAACTAACATCATCATAGAACGTTTTGTTAGTTATAACTTCGCCCAGTTACCTGTAGTCCTTTCCCATCCCGGATAAGCTAACGTTTTGAGATGTGGAATGTATAGTTTGACCTGACCGTCTTATTTTCCTAGTAAAAATTCAACACTTACTGCCAACATTATTCATATCACCACATGACACCAACACATCAAAGACTTACGCACTGATAAAACTTGATAATCAGAAGTAGCTTTTGACTACTTTCCCGACCGTAGCTCCTACTTTGACATGGTGGTCGAGCTTGTTTATTTGATGACTCAACTGAACTAAATCGGCCGAAATATATATTCCTTTAGATCGTACCATGCCAACGTGAGTCATTTGCGGTGTATGCGAGATATCCATAGCCCGAACAAGGGACAAGATTACTGCACAGCAGTGAAACAGCCATTAAGAGTAAATGATTTATTATTATTATTAATGGCTTTATTCAATATTATATTTTGGTACAATATAGAATTCTCAGCACAGGGTATTTCAACAAGTTACTTACTGAACAACGAACAAAAAGGCAGTAACAAATACAAAAAGAAATAAAAAAAGGTTTTTAAAAGAAATAAAATTAAAATAAAAAAAACTGTACAAACTTTTTAAAATTAAAGACATGTTAAGAATGTAAGTTATTGACTAAGTTAATTCTAACAACCTGTTCGTCACAGAGTATATTTGCTAGGTAAGGTATTATAGAACTTTTATACTTTTCCTTGCGTGCATGGATTTTAATGTAATTACGTCTCGTTCTACCAGAAGATATACAAGGAGAAAGATAAGAGTGAAGGGGATGACTAGTATCTGATAAAATAACACCTGCCAGGAGTTTGCATGATTTTAAATGTCTATCCACAACCATATTAATTATGACCTCGAAAGATTCACCACACACCTTGTTAACTGCCTTCAGCACTCTTAGCAATACAGCAAAGTCTTTTCTCAAAAGCCAGGGAAAGAATAATGGAGAACAGTAAAGAATAATAGGTAGTATGCAAGAATTGACAAATTGTAAGAGTAAATGACGAGTAATTCCAAGAGCATGCAATCTCTTTATGTAATAGGTCAGACGGAAAACCTTCTTCGATAACGATAAAACGTGGGAAGACCAAGACAGATCAGAGGAAAAGGTGACACCAAGATAATTGACCTTCGACACTGAGTTTATCAAAGAGCCTCCGATGGTACAAGCATTATGGGATCTCAAAATGGTGTTTAGATTCCGTTCATGTCTCATGCTAAAGTTAACAGCTTGACATTTAGACGGATTAAGTATGAGACCATTACCAACAGACCAACAATCAATACGAGACAAAAACTCATTCATTTCTATGGGATGTAAAGAGGAAGATATAGGCATACATACAGTGAGATCATCCGCGTACTTCACAAAAGTGTTTTCTGTGGAAGATGGCAGGTCATGCAGAAAAAAAGAGAATAGGAGAGGTGAAAGAACAGCTCCTTGTGGTACACCTTCCTGAGACAGTAGAGAATCTGAACTCTTTCCTCCAAACACAGTGTACTGTTCCCTTCCAGAGAGGTAGGAACACAGCCAGTTGGTTATCCAGCTGTCAGTGTTGACGCTGATTAACTTGTTAAGTAAACGTTGTCTTGGTATAGAGTCAAAAGCTGAAGTATAGTCTAGAAAAGCACATCGAACATAGTTCTTACCCTTTTCTAAGTTGAACACTATGTTGTGATGCAGAACTGCAACAGCATCTAAAGTGCTTCTTTTGCGCCTGTATGCAAACTGGTATGGGTCAGTATGCTCTTTTATCGCAGGCTGAAGTGGAAGTATTAATAATTTTTCCATGGTTTTGAGGAAAGGTGAAGTTATTGCAATAGGTCTAAATTTTACATTCTTATCACCAAATGCTTTCTTGGGTACAGGAATTATCTTCATCTTTCTCCACATTTTCGGTATGAGATTAGATGAGAAGGATCTGTTAAATATAGTTGTGAACGAATGACATAGAACGTCAGCACATTTTTTAAAAAGGATGTTTGGGATACCATCAGGTCCCAAACATCGAGATGAATTAAGCGACTGGAGACATCCTCGTAGGTTGCTAGTAATCGATCATAGGTATCTACGAAGCATTGCTTGTGTATTCTGTGATACAACTGAGTAGGGAATGAGGCAAAGAAAAGAAATCGATTGATGAAGTATTAGCAAACCTTCATCGATTGAGGAGATTAGGGCATGCGTTACGTATGGCCAACCACCACCTACCTCAACGTGAGATGTTTTATGGGGCAGAATCAGGCTGGAAGAAAGCTAGGGGTGATCATACCAAAATACGGCATCATCAGTCAATGAAATCAGTGAAAAGTGGACTGATACATGTTAACAGGTGTAGACTATCTGGTTAGAGTCCGCATGATTATTGTAACTAACAATACTGTCACTACATCTATTACTCTAGGATTCTCTCGAACAATTTCATTTCTCTGTACTGATGGTTGTGACAGCCTGAACCGATATACATACAGATATACGTACCAGGTTCAACGTAGCAACTACTGACTTCACTACATTCGCCTACCTACCCTTCACTATAATTATCTACTATTTTGATGATACTTACTTAAGCTTCTTAATTATTTAATTATATTAGATAAGGAAGAAGATTGTATACTCTAATTAACTAGTTTTTAAATGCACTAATTCATCATTTGAAGGTATAGGTCTCTGGATATATCAGGTGATTATCTGCAGTGCGATCACTAACACGCTTAATCATATTTCTATTCTAGTCCATCACCTAATATTCAATGAGAAAAATGATTTGTTTCTTACCCGTTTATCATAAACAAAGCAGAACTATAATGGAAACTGATTGATTTATGTGTGGGTGTGTGAATTATCAACTCAAAATATCAACAACAAAAAAGTTATACAGTTGACAGATTGAAACATTTTGATTTTTATCATTATAGATCACATGTAGAATATTTTTATAGCATGTTCTAAACACACTACTGATATGGTATCTAAATTTAAAAGTAATATCAAAAGGGATTTTTCTAGATATTATAATCATTTCAATAGTTGAGATCATGAGTTAATTGAGGCTAGATCACCTTGAAAAACTTGAAAGGACTGGATAGCCGTTTCGTACTATTGTAGAACTCTTTGACAGTGCGCATCCACGAACCCGTTTAATGCTTCCAGGTTTTTCATGATGATCTAGCTTTAATTGACTCATGATCTTCACTATTGGTGTTAACAGTAATTGTTTATGTGAGTTCATTATTAATCGATAACAAATGTTGAGCTAATTATTAGTCAATCAGAATGAAATAGAAAAATGTATTACTCACTACTCATTAGCATATAGAATATCATTTAGGAATCTATCAACGAAATAGGCTAAAGTGAAATAGTCGAACAAAAAACTTCTCGTATATTTTGGAGGAACATAGGCCGCTTACCAGCATTCTCTATCTAACTCTGTCCTGAGCAATCCTTTCAAGTTGGTATTGATCCTTTCCATGTCTACTTCCAATTATCGATGTAGTATGTTCACTGATCTTTCTTTTATTCTTTGACCTTGAGGATTCCAAGTTATGGCTTACCTTGTGATGCAATTTGACTATCTCC